AACTAACAAATGAAAATATGATAAGGTAATAATGATGAAATATTTAATTGAATTTTAAATACAGAACTAGGAGAGCTGACGTGTAAAATACGCGCACATGCCTCGTACACCCACGCTCAAGTCTGATACGATAATGTAACGAATGGTAGGTATGATTATTTTTTATTATTATCATTATTATTTTTTTTTTTTTCAGGAAAATAATTGCGTCTGTTTATATCGCGAAATGCACACAAACTGCAGTGCAAAACGCGTACGTAGAATTTGCGTGAAAAAAAAATATAAGAAACTGGACAGTAAATTAAAATGTATAAGTACTTGCGGAATGTATTTGTGTGTGTGTTCGTGCGATAACGTGTAAACGTCGCATAATATATTTTTCTCGACGCCATTTATCTCGGGGTGAGATTCGTCGTAGGACGACGGACGACCGAAGATTTCCGGCTCATTGTGTCTGGACCACCTTGTGTAGGTATATATATATTGATACATACGCATACGCCGGAGACTAATTAAACGATTATTCTTTATTTTTCTCTCTCTCCCTCCGTATAAGCGACCGGGGGAAACGATAACATCGAAAGTATATCGATTTTACATATATTATTATATTATACGCGACGTACGACGTATAATATTAAATGTTTATATCTCTGTCTCGCTCTATTTTTCCATCTCTCTCTCTATTATATAATATCCACGTGAGCGAGAAATGTGAATAAAAAGAAAATTCGCGTATGTGATGCGCAATACACGCGCGTATATTATAGGTATAGAGAAGTATATCTCGTCGTCATAGGTATTATAATAATATACAATATAATATAATGCGTAGTATGCCTAGCTGCGGGATGCTCCTTACAATGTAAATAGAGAGCTCACGAACTGTAAATACCTTATCATAAAATTATCATCAATCATGCGTTCGGATAAAAAAAAAAAAAAAAATCCGCTGGAGTCGTGATCCGTATTAACGATTATCCTCGAAGACGACATTGTATTTTATGTTTATTGTACACATATACAAACACACGGGTATATTATATGATTTCCGAGATCCGAGTGTTATTCGTGTATTTTTTGAAAAACTACCGCTACTTATAATACGTGTAACGTGCTATAAAACCTTCAACGGGAAATATTCGTCGATTTACATATATTATTATTATTACATGTTTATTTGAAAACAAAATTATGATCGTCACCGGGGGCAGTGGTCGAATGACGGTGTGTGTGAGTGTGTGTATGTGCCACTGCGTCGGGATTCTATATGAATAGCGGCGACATTATAATATTCTATTTTTTTTCTAATATATTATGTCTGCTATACACCGTATAACTGCGTTAGGTATTGTGTGTATACTAATACTATATTACTTACTGCGCCGGGATATACCGACACGTGATATCTCTACGGATGAATTAAAGGACGTCACATATTATATCGTGAAAAAATGAAATAAAAATAAAAAGTCGACGGCTTTATGCGGTACGTTCCGAATTTGAAAATCCAGTCATATACGCATCATAACATATCGTTATCAATATTCTCTGAACGATACGTGTACGACGTATCAATCGAGTTCCGTCGTAAATAAAATTACCAGTGCCCATCATACTCACCATACCTATACGTACAAGCTATCGTACGTATAATATTATATACTATACGTTTATATAGTATATGTTATATAACACGGGTAATACATAATAATATAATACGTCTGTGCACCATGCTCGGTCTTCGGGTAAGTATACGCATTTGTGTGTGTTTCTCTCTCGATAATATATATATAAATAATATATTACATATATAATGTCCAACTGCACATCGTTTCTCTGATTTCGTCCAGCGGACAATAGTGTATATAAATACGTGATGCACTTGGTAATGAACAAATACACGCACGCGGTACAAATGCGTATACATTCGTAATAATCTAATGTGATCTCAACCCTCTACGCGCGCCGGTCGTCGTCGTATTTGTACGCGTATGCCTATACGATGCGAAGCGACTTCGTACAGAGGGACGGTATTAAATCCGACAACGAGGTACCTATATACATATTTATATATATGTATACTGTATATACATACAATACCCTATCTATTAGGGGGCCATCAATCTTCGTTAAGTGCGTTTCTTGTGAGCTTATACCTACACAATATACACACACACACACACACGTTGTATATTATTATTATTATTATTATTGTTGTGTTGTATATTATAATGTATACATATAGCTAGTAGGTACCGCATGGGATTCATCGTAATCACAGGAAAGCGAGGAAATATTGTTTCTCTCCTTACCAACCGACATTTTATTTTTTATTATTATTATTATTATTATTATTATTATTATACTACACGGGACCAGTGACAGTGAAAGACTCGACGGAATACCGAGCACCGGTGCCATACTGCTATAATATTGTGTACGTCTATAATAATAAGTACCTAACCGACACGTCGCTGCAACAGGTACATATAATGTCGTCGAATCAAAGTGTCGCATAATATTATAATTTATTCCGTGGCGTATAATATCGTCATTATACTATTCTAACCACCCGGTGTTCGGTTGATACTTGTGTATATATTGCATTCCGCTGCGCGCGATTTGTAAACGAGGATGATAATAATAATATGTACACCGCCGTATACCTATACACAAACACGGGTGATATGACAAAGACTGCGCGTACATAAAAAATAGCTAGATATGTGCGTGTGTATAAAAAAGGGTGCAAGTGTTTTTATTACGGCGACGACCGCTCACGAGACGAAACATCGACTCCAAACGCCTACGTATCGTACAATGTTTTATGGCCGTTCGTCGCTCGAAATACACTTCTTTTTACTTTAGAACGATATTAAATTAGTTATTTATTTATTTATTTTTTAAATACTCCGTTGAATTACACCGAGAGAAGAGACGGAGCAAAACTTGTAAAAAAAAAAAAATCCCAACCCATATTGACGAAACGCCAAAAGCGTATATATATATATTTTATAATATTATGTATTACGTAACACCGTCTTTTAAACGCGTAAGCTATAAATCTCGTTGTGACTCAAACCATTGTGAACTGCATAATATATACTCGAATTCGATAAAAAATAATAATAATAAATGTTTTTTTTTTTCGTATGTGTGTATATTATAATATATTATACCGCACATGATTCTTGATTATTTCGTTCTTTTTGTAAAAAAAAAAAAAAAAAAATAAAAGTAATAATTATAATTTAAAATGTAGTAAATACATCCCGCACGTCTGGTGAATGTGCGATTAATGATGACACATTACATAAGACTCGCGACTCGAGGACCGTTTAATGTTTATATATTGCATATAATAGTATATAATAGTATAAGCGTGTCGGCGTGCGCTCTTTGATTTTCTATACCACGGTATGAAATAATAATGTATGGGTACCCTATGGATATTATAATACCTACTAAGCGCACGGTCGTGCTGCGGTGGTTCGCGAAAATTTTACTAGCAAATAAAACACGCGAGCCTTCCGCGAGAGGACACACCGTGTCGTGTCATTGATAACCGACGTTTCTTTTTCTTCACGTGTTATATATACACCTGCACGATTACATATTATATATTTTATTATAATATTATATACTTACTTAAATAATATGTAAGGTGGCGGCGGTTCACCTCGGCACAAAAGCGGCGAAAAAAAACCCATTAAAAATACGAAAACACCCACCGGATCCCTGTGGGCGGTTTTGATATTACACTAGCTGCAGTGTAATACTCTCATAACATATAAAAATATATGTGTGTGTATGTGTGTATATAGGCGATTAGACCAAAAGAGTAGCACGGTCATTTCATATTTCCTAAATTACATTGTCCGATTTCAATGTCAAAAACATGAGGCCCCCGGTCGGGTTAACATCTTTTCGAGCGCCGCCCACACGCAGATTTTTATCGAGCCACTGCGCACTGCACATGATATCACTTTTTATTTTTATTTTTCATTGTTTACGCGCACGTCATATTATCGTTGTATTATTAAATTATCATAATACCTCGTCTTTACGATAATGCACTGCATATTATGACGTCAAGAAGATATTGCGAACCATATTATCTCTATCGCTCGTACTATTGAATTTGCCGACGAGATCGATATAGGAATCGTTGCGCAAAAAAATTGTCCGTGGTAGACAGCAAGCAGGTGCCTATAACCTATAACCTAATCGTAAAATCGGTTTTAAACGATGGCCGGCACGGAATCCAAATAAATACAACGTAACGTGTAGAGATGGCGTATTGCATGTCTTACACAATACTGTCGTCGCTAAACGACAAACGTGTACGGTAAATACGTATAGGTATACGGGCATTGATTATAAATACGATTTGCTATAAAACACTGACGTTCTCGCGTTTGGTGACCGCACAGGAGGATCGTTGGTATCCACCTATAGCGTATAAACCTCGAGTCGTCTGTCGTCGATACAGGTGTTCAATTACGATCTATTACAATTTAATACGCTCCGACGCCCGTCGATGCGAGTGTAGCGAGTTTACTTATAGCTATATCGTCACATCGGCAGTGCCCCCTATTAAGTCCGGTAATACACGCAGACTATCTGATTTCGAGTGTCTCGTAAGTCGTAGGTAGTCATCGGCTTGCGGTTGCATTTGATTTTGCGCGTCTCTCGTTTTGCGAACGAATAAAATAATAATATTATGATAAAATATATTATAGACTTTTTACGGTTATATACACTGTGCGCCTCCCCCCCCCCCCCCCCCAATTACTTGTTGCGCACAACACGTATTATATTATGCGTCACTCGTGTACGAAACTAATACCCGTGTCTTAACTCTTAGTAATGGTATTGTAATGCACGTGATGTACCTACACCATTAAACTTTCGCTGGTTTCGAGGTTCGTTCGTGTAACGATCGGGGTGTATTAAGGATATAATATTAGTTGTCCATTCAGAAAATAGACACTCACTTGAAAACTCTGTTCGGTCGAAAACGTGCACGAACTATTCCAGCTGGCCGAACTGTTCCGCGATGACACCTCTTGCACCACCCGCAGCCGAGCCACGTGATCGTTCATTTTGCTATTCGGTTTCGCCGATATCTGAAAACATTTTCAAAACGACGGAAATTATTAACACGTTCATCGCGTGCGTGGACTAAAATTTTTACGATATTTTCGTTGTAGGTATTCGTTCAATAACTCCAAACGCGTATTTACTGTATTAATACACATACACGATAGTACACAACATATGTTTAGACAAATACTATACGCGGACATGGATTGTATATATGTATCATGTGATTTTTTTTTTCCATTACACTGTGTAAACCTATAATATGTAAATGTGTAGTAGTGTATATATAGGTATTAAGGGGTCAACATCTCACAATTATAGATAAATAAAATAATGAGGCGAGCAATAAAAATTTGGATTAGTCTACTAAAAACCAGTTTCTTCGACGGATAACGCTATTAAAAAAAAACATACACACTCACAAGTGTATACCTATACGTTCTACGTATATTTATTTCAATGGGGCTACATAATATAATATAATATATTATATGATAAATTCATTACAGGCATATATAGTATTGTTTTTGATGTACAAAACCACTTGGTGAACCTGGTTGCAGGTGAACGGTGATGCAGTTGACCAAAAAAAAAAAATAAAAATAAAAATAAATTCTACGTTCTGTTTGGTTATTATATTATTATACACGCTATTCGCGTTTTATAGACCAATTGACTGTGTCATATTTTTATTTGTGAATTATTTTTCAAATAAGTATACAACTTTTGCTTGTTTTTTTTTTTTCAAACCCGTTATTCGGCAAACTAGCGGTAAACTAAGTAATAAACCCCAAAATGTATATTATATATTATTATAATAGAGCCTATAAAAAGGGGACAATTGTGTGACTCCCGGTCATTTTCGTCTGACGACAGTAAAATCATACACGCCAATAAACGTGGTATTGTTTGGTTAGATGAAAATGTAATACATAATTATATGTGTGACCGTGAGATGCACGTATGATAATATTATGCAAAAACTGTCACACGATATGATTTTTTTCTGTTATTTTTTACACCAAGACGATATAATTTGATATTTTTGAACGCATGTTATATTTTCATTAACACGGCCTGTCGACATAGAATCTGATCATCCCGTTTGATTCACACATTTATATATATATATATAAACAAGTGTATTACATTTCAAAAAAACCACGAAATTTAAGCCTAGGTAATATATGCTTTACACCAATACTCATATACTCACCATTTGCTAAGTATATTACATGAGAAATATGTATAATTTTAAAAACACAAGGTACATTTAAAAAAAATACTTTGTCATATTGACTTTTTTGGATCTGTTATTATAATTTTTAGGTTTTTTTTTTTTTTTTTTTTTGTTGAAAATTTGCATGTTATATTAAATACTTTTTTACAAAATTTAAAAATGTTTAATGTAATTAATGGATCTGCTTCCAATAAGCTTATAAACTTGAGTCAGAAAACATAATATTATATTATATTTTAGTAGTTAGTACATCATATAATTATCGATATTGCATATGTTATGCTAAAGAAATCAAACAATTTTACTTTCTTATTTATGACGCAGTTGAACTGATCAACTTTTATTAGATTAAAAGTTATCACAATATTATACGTACCATTTTATATGAAATGTTCACATCAGGTTTTAATTCGAATCAAAGAAATTCTGTTAGTTTTCTATTAGTTGATTTCACTATAACTGGATCACGATATGTTTAATATTATAATAAAAAACTGTCCATTAATAATAGTCGTATATGTATGTTTTTAATTGTTTCGTGCACAGTTCATGAAGTGCTAGGTATATTTTTAATTTGCGGTAAATCTAAAATAAAAACATCGGGAGCCTTTCGTGCAGAAAATCATAAATAATTATCACGAGTTACGTATTATTCTCAAGACTGATATTTTAACCTGGATGTGTTCAATATATTATGGTATGAGTTTGTAGTTACGTGTTGTTATTAAGTCAGAAATTAAAATGTGGTAACGTAATCGGCGCATTATGAGCACTGCTTGCATGAAGATTAGACACGAATAATTACGAGTACCTGCCACGCACAGAGGCGACCGTGATGGCGGGTGTTAAATTAGAAAATACGAGAGTACCTACCTACTTATGTTTTAGTTTAGTTTTTAGTAATAGGTATACATATATTTAAGTATTTAACTGGGTGTTCAAATGATTGATTATATATTTATTTATATAACTTAAAATCTATTTTTAAATTAAGGTTATTTTATTTGGAATATGTACACTGTACATTGTCTAGTCTACGTAATAATATAATGCATTAGTTAAATTGAATAAATTTATAAATGTATAAATGAGTGAAATTATTAGATAAAATATTCATCGATATTATTTAACGGATAAAATATATATAATATATACAATAGGTAAGTTATTATTTTAAAAATATATTATAATTATATAATAAGACTTTGATGATTTGTCCGATTTAAATTACTTACGGACACCTATATAATATTTGTATTATTGTGACTAAGATAAGAGGTCTCTGTCCATTTTTAAACTTAACTTGAGTGTATTCATTAATCGATTAGGTATAACTATTTTAAGGTTGTTATTGATATGAATTCAATGAAATTTAAAATAAAGTAGATTGTTATAATAAGCTTAATATTATAAATTATTATACTCAATATATTTATAATTTTATTTTGACACATTCTTAAATGCAATTTAATTTATACCCTATCAATTTATCAACATTGATTTCAAAAATATATTTTTATTCAAGATAAATACAGCACACGCTGCAGTGTTAGTGCGTTACATTTTATAAAGTGTATGGCTTTTATTCTCATTTCTATTCTATTGCGCCATTGTCCATTAGTTAATTTGATTGTAATGCCATGTTATCGACATGTATGATGTATCGTTTATTATTTATCATTCAATAATATCCCTTTCTAATGTTCTCAATTCTCACAAGGTCCCTATCCTATTTCAGTTCAGAATCTATTAATTATACTCCAATATTTGAATACGAATTAAACGCTAGCGCTTTATCTCTCGTTTCGACCTAATTGATTTTACTGCTTAGTAATTTATCAGTTGCATTTTTATTGCAACTAGAATATAATCATGCAATTCCAAATTTTAACATACCAATATTGTTTTTTGTTATAAAAACAATTAAATATTAAAAATCAAAATGTATATTAGATTGCATTTAGATTGCGCATAAATTGCTGTTAACAAAATCTTATTATGATGATGTACAACAAAACAAATAAACCCATAGTTAGTACATACAATCAATCAACACACACACACACATATATTATACGTATGATATTTAGATAAAAAAATAAGTATATAAAGTACATTATAGTCATATTTTGAGAGCGTATAAAATAATATTATGTTCGAAAGAAGATAGTATAGGTATACATACATTCGTATACAATATTTGAACTATTTTCGAATGGATCGCGGTCATCCATTAATGCGATAAGTGATATTAAAAAGTCGAAATCAATACAAACATCAAATTATCGATATTATACTGTCACTATTCACTGTACAAAGCGATATATGCTTTTAAGATTTCGTGTAAAAGAAAGCAATAGTCGCGTACCGCATACAGATATGAAAAATTCTATTGTAAACACCTTGCACTAGTACGTATAGTTTCGCGTTGTAAATAATATCGACCGTTTCAAATTTTAATCACTAATACGTCAATATATTATCTTATTGATAAGTTTCTAGAGCAAGGAAAATGAGTATAACTAATAGCTATAAAATATTCAATATTTCGGATAATAAATCGCATCCTTTCCCCTTCGAACACGCGTTCAACAAAATTCGTTTAACATAATAATAATATCATATTTTCATAGCCATCATACACTGTAAATTTGATTGCATAATATCACAGATACACGGTGTGTTATATGTATATATATATATAGTGCGTTTGACTGTGTTCTATACGCTTAGTCTAATATAGTGTAGGTACCTATATAATATCGAAATATCTTGAAGTTGCGACCGCGATCAGTTTATATAGGTACGTACGAGATGGATAATCGTTGGGCGGAGTTGTAAAGATTTTCAGCGTTTCTTTTTTTTTTTTCTTCAAATTTTATTTTACACCGTCATAATATCATACATAGGTATACCGCGGCAATAAAATATATATATACATAATAACGCTCCTCTCGTTACACTCGTCATCGTCTCGACGTATGTTATAATAATATGTATACATAATGTGTAACTCGCATAGTAAGTGCGCGCGTACAGGGTTCTACATATATTATATTATGATGCACGCACGACGAATTTGGCGGTACCGAATTATCGAGTTTAACAATCGGGTTTAAGAGCGGCGGGGTCGACGACTGTTTGAATTATGGGAGGTTTGAATCAAATTTCGAACGTCTTGTTACATAACCGCTGCAGCGATCGCGTATAAACGGTCTATATATGACTTGTAATGTATTATTATTATTATTATTATTGTTGCGATGTGCCGTTTTATTCGCAGACGATTGCGAAACACACATATAGCTCGTATCCAATACATATATACATATTATACATTAATTAATTAATCGCAGAATATAACTATATAACGCAATAACTCCGCACGTGGTCAAAGTATATATAAAATATGTATATATATATATATATAGTGACACTCTGCAGAGATTGACGTACGTCCGTCTTCGGCGCGCGTACTGATCTCGTAATAATATTATTATATTATAATACGACGACCAAAGGTGTCGACCGGGCTGTATAATAATAATATGTAATATGATTGATCACGTTTTGACGTCTGCCGCCGTCTACGGTGTGAATTTTTCGAACCGGGTCACTGTGTACAAAGTGATTACGCTTTTCTTTTTAACGTTAATCAAGCAATAACTTACTGTAGAAATAAAAAGATATATTTTTCAACTATTTTGTTCCTATACGCTTATAAGGGCAAACCGTTTCACATTTTTTTCACGAATTCCAGTATAATACCATGTTCACAAGATT